GATCTATGTTACAAAATATAATGTGCATCGTAAAGACCTTATGATGCTCAAGTTAGTCGAAATTAGTTTAGAATTGTCACAAAACTATTTGAATGATAGTCTTCAATAAATTACATCCGAACAAAAGTAGACATCAACATTATAGAAGAACCGAAAGAATACAGAGTCTTGATAATGTTTATCCCTTTTTGTGGTTGATATTAATGCCTTTTAAGGAATTCAATTCCATGAAGATACAAAGTAGAGAAAATTCTTAGTGTTGATAGTTGAAGACCAAGTCAATCAAAACATTAAGAGAAGAAGTGTGAAAATTAATGATATATGAAACGGAAAGCAACTTAGTTGCAAATTGCAGCGAATATTTATATAGATGCAGTGATGAATCTAATGGGATCATGAAAAATATCTACGTCGGTGATCTACAATTTGTTGGATTCATGACTTAAAACTATACTCGATGTCTCATTAGTAGATTAGTTCTAGGGGAGAGAATGAGATATTGACATCAATTTTACACCATTGATTTTACATAACTCAACATTTCCCTTGGTGCTGGAGTTATGAGCCTTGATGGAATTGGGTATATATGAAGGATTTTTTTTTTCTTTTGCAAACATTTGTGTTTTGCGGATATGTATCCGTGTATTTTGCTTCAATTTATTCATGATAAATTATGCAAATATTTCAGTGGAGGGAGAAAACGTGAGGCGTTGAAAGTGTCAGTACGTGGAATTCGTCTAAACATATTTTGGGTGGGAAAAGTTAGTCAGACATGGTTGGGGATAGGGGGAAAAAAAAAACAGGTGCATGTGTTAGCACATATTTGGGTAATTTTTTTTTTTTTTATAAACTATCTAATAAGTGAATGACACGTGTCTCACCTGTTTTTAACTCTGTCACTAACCCTGTTTTTTTAGCAAAACTTGCTTTGGGTTTAATCAAACCTCAATAATTCTCTATTTTTGACAAAACCAAAATTACTTTGGGCTGGCTTTAACTTGATTCATTCGTTCTTATACAAAATAACTTTTTTTTCCCTCAAAATCATAATACACCATTTAATGCAAGCTTCAAAACGAGTCTAATATTAATATATGGTAATTTGGTCTAATTTGAAAAAATAATATTATCAACGAAGTAGTTTACTTTAATTGGCTCTAGTTCGAACTTGATTTATACAAATTAATTTTTTT